TCTGTAGAAACCTGCAATACTTTTATTTTTAAATGATATAAACCGTTGTTGCGTTTACCTTCGCAAACAACTTTGTTATTCTTCAAGAAAACGCACATTTTACTGTCAGACTTCATTATTAATCCCTTATCTAGTGCTGCACCACAACTAAATAAATTAAACTTTAAGTCTTTTACATACAACACATTTGATAAATAATTTTTGTACGTTTTGTTTTTAACTTGACAAGATATATTAATTCTCCCAGAACCTTTTGCCAACAAAACTGATCCATCCCCGATTGTTACTTTTGCTGGTGAATCAAATTGTTTGTACTCACAAAACCATTCCATATGTCCTGTCATATGGTCAGTTGCTCCACTGTCGAGAAACCATTGATCCTCTTCTTTTTCCGTGAATAATAATTCACTATAGAAGGCTTGCCCTGTTGAACTTGAATTTGAAGAATCGGATTTCGCACCCTCTTGATCCTTTTTGTACTTTCTGCAGTCCCTTTTAAAATGACCTGGTTTTTGACAATAAAAACAGGGACCTACCTTTTTAGTACCAGTATTTTGTTTACTGAATTTTTGTTCAACTGACTTCTCACCACTCGGCTTCTTAGAAAATTTCTTTTGAAACTTTCTGGCAGTCAAAGCATTATTTTCTTCTGCTTCAACCCCTGAACTAACCTGTTGCATTCTGGATTCTTCTATAAGTAACCTAGATGTTAGAACATTTAGATTTTTACTCGCCTCAGGAACACTATCCCAAGCGCTGTAAAAATGTTTGTAAGTCGATGGTAGAGTCATTAAAATTTTGGTTATTAACATCCCTTCCGAGATATTTTCTCCTAGTGAGTTGAGTTGGTTCCGTAAATTTTGAAGTTTACTTATGTGGGTCGATATATCATCAGAGGAACTTTTACTGTAACTAAAAAATTTATTTTGTAGTAAATGTACACTTGCCTCTGTTTTTTGCTCGTAGACACTCAGCAACTTATTCCACATTTCATTGGCGGTTTGACAATTAATTAAACATTGTAACGGTCCATCATCCACTGACGTTACAATTATCTTTTGGCATTTTCCGTCTGCCCTTCGCCATGCAGATATTTCATTAGCACACCTCGCCCGTGCTTGTTCTTCTGTTTCAGTGGATGTTTTGACTAACCTTGGTTTTGGTATTTCTCCGCTAAGTATTCCTTCCAGGTCAAAACTGTTCACAATGACCCTTATTTGGAATTTCCATAACAGCCATCCTTCTGCACTGGACAACTTAGTAATCTTGACCGAATCTTCCATGACGTCGATCGAACTGCACAATTGTCTGTACCAAGAAATATTACCTTTAGTCAGTAAGTATGTATTGGTCAGTATTCGATGTTTGACTTTTGAGTATCGTGGTCTGGGCCCATAACCTGTTGAGATTAATTGTAGTGGAACACAAAAGAAATAACAAACAAACACTTTGAGTAATAATAGAGTTAATATTATAGACACAAGTTAAACCAATAATAACAATACAATATAGATATATGTATAAGTCAGTAGTAACAAGCACATTAACAAAATAGTAGCTGTGGAACGAGTGTGTCCCCTTGTCCATATACAAAGGTATTTATATCATAAATCTAGGTTAAATCAATTCATACAAAATACTTTCTAAGATTTCACATACAATAGTGTCTTCCTCGACATACTAAACTAATCACATTAAAACTATCTTAGAATATTAATTACATTTCAACATTTCCAACTTAACAGTTCTGTGCGGATTTGTTTCCTTATCCCGTGGCCGTCGAATTGTTCCAAAAACTCGGTTTTAAATTCGGGCCATGAGGGGTCTAGAGCGCGCAGTGTTCCCCACCAAGTGCCTGCGCTGCCTTTTAACTGTGGGGTTAACACTTTTACCCATTTTTCGTTGGGCACATCAGCTTCGACGAGTACGCTAGCGGCGGCGCTCAAAAACCGTTTGGGGTCCTCAACTTTCTTTCCGCTAAACTCGGGTAAAGAATTTCGGACAACATCTATTTTATATTGCGGTAATAAAAACGAATTTTGATGAGCCGTGCTATTTAGCCCGTGCTTATTAAAAATTATTCCCTCTCCAAAAGTTACATTCGGTTGACCACTCGGACGCCCATAGTTATTTTTTACCATTCCACTTATGTTGTGTTGTGGTTCTTGATAAAAAAAATTATTCGAGCTCTGTCCGGTGGTTCCGTTTATAAAATTAATCGGGTTGGGGAATAAAATTTCATTATATTCGGTTCCTAAACCAACACTTTTATTTATAACCGGTTCAAAATTTGAGGAGGCAGTAGGCGGGTCTATTCCGTTTTTTGAACAAGACGGGTACATAGACGAGTGGCTGACTGTCTCCTGATTTATTCCGTCATTTTGGTGTGGTTTAGGGTAAGACAAAGATTGCGCGTGTTTAGACAACGTTATATTTTCCGTCGGTTGGTCCGTTTCCGTTGCAAACGGTTTTAGGAGTCCATAGTCGGCTAAAATATTTTCTAATCGACCTATTCTCCCAATTAACAAATTAAATTGTTTTAGTCGGTTTTGAATAATGTCGATGTCCGTGTCTAAACCTACTACGCGGTCGGATATCGTGTCAAAACCGTTTTCCAGTGTGCCTAGACGGTTTTCCATTTCGGGGCCGTCTAACAGACGTCGAGTTTCCTTGACGTTGTCACTTATACCGTTTTGGTTTTTACCGTCATCATTGGCGTCACTAATGGACTGGTTTTTGACACTATCCAACTTAAATATTACATTGGCGGGCTCAACTTTCTCTACGTTCAACAAGTGGCTTTCCAACATGATTAGCAAGTCGGCTTTAGTCCCTTGCGTCTGTAGATTCCGTTTCCGCGCTTCATTTTTTAATTCATCGATATTAAGCTCCATTAAATATTTGTTTGCCATTTCGGGTTTATATCCAAATTAAAGCACAACAAATAAAAAAAACAAAATTTATATGTATATATAATATTTATATATTGAGCGCTATCGTACCGAGAATTAACTAACGGGGGATTTTTTTTTTCAACACAAAAAAAAAAATAAAAAATAGTAATGCTACTATACTGCGATATATTAATGCGTACACCCGTTCACTGCGCCGCTTAAAATTATTTATTTAATTTTTTTTTCACTTAAAAAAAAATTTTTGGTCGTGGAAAAAAACAATTGTACTAAATAAAATGTTGTACTTACGGTTTTTTTTTCTCAAGATTTGTAAAACTACCAACTGCGCCAATTGTCGTGGCCGTAGACGTTCGGAGTAATTAAACCCTTAGTAATAATTAAAATAACAACACTTGTGTACGTTAGTCACCGTTTATTCAATTACGCTATAGTATCACACGACAATAATAATACTATTGATGCACGGCGGTCCGGTGACGGCCGTATTTATGTTACCGGCGGCGGTCAACATTGCTGATAAGCTGCGCCGGGGTTTTGCTTAATGGGCAATTAGGGAAGCACGGCCCGGCCGGGTATTGTCATCGCGGTCCGGGTAATAGTCCAGGCCGCGGTGATGGCAATACCCGACCGTGTCAAGGTTAGGTTTACTGTCATTCAAACTTAATAATTCTTCGAATTAAAAAAACGAAAAACTTATTCTAAAAAATATGAATGAAACTAACATAATATAATCATAATTGACGAAGAAATAATACATTTTATTTTGAATTTTAAACATGGTCCGCATAATTCAACGCATGAAAATAAGCAAATATTTTAAATTAAAAATCAATTTTAAAATACAAATTAACATATATTATAAACGATTTTTCTTAAAAACCATCAGTAACTAAAAAAGACTACTAACATTTTATAATAAAAATTACGAATAGTAACAATATTTTTTAACATATTGCATGTGTAGATTATGAAAGTTAAAAAAAAATATATAAGAAAACTAATTAAAGTATATTAAATCTGAATTAAATCGTAAGTAAAAAAAATTGCAAAATAATAACATATTTATTTTGAAAAACTATTTTAAAACTGCCAAATAGCCACGTAAGGTTTAGGAATCTATGAGCCGTGTGCTTTTGCTTGATGCCTTTTGAGAGTATATTGGCGACCATACGATTTGTCACAGGCTGAGCATTTGTATCGTACCCCACCAATATGTATGCGTTCATGAATTATGAGATAGGACTTTTGACTGAATGTTTTTTCACAGACATCGCATTTAAACGGTTTCTCGCCGGTATGTACACGTGCATGGTTCTTGAGATCAGATTGTTGAATGAATGTTTTTTCGCAGACATCGCATTTAAACGGTTTCTTGCCGGAATGTATACTTGCATGTTTTTTGAGATGAATTTGTTGACTGAATGTTTTTTCACAGACATCGCACTTAAAAGGTCTCTCGCCGGTATGTATCCGTGTATGTTTCTTTAGTTCAGATTGTTGAATGAAGGTTTTTTTACAGATATCGCATTTAAACGGGTTTTCACCAGTATGTGTGCGTTTATGAATTTTTAGGTGTTGTTGTGTACCAAATGTTTTTTCACAGACATCGCATTTAAACGGTTTCTCGCCGGTATGAATACGTGCATGTCTCTTGAGAGCAGATTGATGACTGAATGTTTTTGCACAGACATCGCACTTAAAAGGTTTCTCGGCGGTGTGTATGCGTTCATGAGTTTTGAGGTGAGATATCTGACCAAATTTTTTTTCACAAATATTGCATTTAAAGGGCTTCTCGCCGGTATGAATACGTGCATGTCTCTTGAGAGCAGATTGATGACTGAATGTTTTTTCACAGACATCGCATTTAAACGGTTTCTCGCCGGTATGAATACGTGCATGTCTCTTGAGAGCAGATTGATGACTGAATGTTTTTTCACAGACATCGCACTTAAAAGGTTTCTCGGCGGTGTGTATGCGTTCATGAGTTTTGAGGTGAGATATCTGACCAAATTTTTTTTCACAAATATTGCATTTAAAGGGCTTCTCGCCGGTATGTATCCTTTTATGAATTTTGATGTAAGATAGGTCGCAATTGGACTGTGTTTTACACGAAAAATGAATACTGCAACACGTTTGAAACAAAACAAATTAATTTAAGAAAAATATATTTTGATGTTATACAGCAAGTTTTAATATTAAATATACAACGCATCCTTTTTAAGAATTAATTTGATTAATTTTAGATGACATACAAAAGTCTTCTTAACTCAATTTTTATTTGATCGAGTTGCCTAAACTTATCCTACATAATACAATGTAACGTTCACATTTATTAGAATATGGACAATAAACATCCGAGTGCCATAACAAGTGGTTACTAATATAAGTTTCATAATAGCGAAGTGCTAACATCGATACCAATGGTGGGTTTATGGAGGATGATAACATAAGTACAAAAGTTTTAAAGTTTTATTTAAGAAAAAAAAAAATGGTAATAAAAATAACCTTACTCATAATTATTGTCGACTTCATTCTTAACCATACACTCTTCTGTTGTAGAAATTTCATTGTTTAAGAACTGCATATCTAACGGTTTAGTTTGAACGACTTCAAACGATTTTTCCAACAACTCTTCTTCTGTTTCATCATTTTCAGGTTTAATTTTCAATATATTAAACCGCTTCAAAACTCTATAATTGACATTAAACATTAGTTGTATTTCTGTGCTATATATGCATAGAGGATTAGTAGGACAACTAAATTCACAATTTTAATTATTTTATTTAGTAACAAATATATAACAAAAATTTCTATTTAACATAAATGAAATTTTTGATAGTAAAAAAACATGAATTTTAATATATAGTTTTTGTAATAAAAAATGACACTTATTCGCATTTTTTATTAACTTAATAAAAGAATGAAAAATTATTGTAAAAATGTTTTCTATATATTTACATAAATAACTCGGTAAGTATCGTACAAAACGTACGCTAACATAATGTGGTGCTGCAGACAACATACCCCCAAATTAAATGTTAACAATTTTTTTTTAAAAATATTTTTATGGATTTTTATATTGATAAGAGGTAGATGAAGTTTTAAAACAATCAATCTATTATTAAATGAACAAGTGGTTCCTAATATAAGTTTAGTCTTAGCGAAACGCTTATATTGATACCATCAGGCACAAAATTTAATAGTTTTGTTCAAGATAAAAAAAAAGGTAATAAATATCGCCTTACTCATAAGTATCATCGAATTCATTCTTAACCAAATAATCCTCTACTATAGATATTTCATTGTTTTTGAACAGCACATCAAACGGTTTTGGTTCAACAGAGTATTCTTCTGCATCGTCATTTTCAGGTTTAATATTCAACATATTTTACCGTTTCAAAACTCTGTAATTGACATTGAACTTTAGTTGTTTTTCTGTACCACTTATGCAAAGAGGTTTAAATAGGACTACTAAATTGGAGTTTTATCTATTTTATTAAGTAACAAATAAAGTAATAATAATGATATAGTAAAGAATAATTTACTTTACATTACTTAAAAAAATAAAAACCACTGAGTTTTCAGTAGTATATTTTGTTCTTTTAAACATTTAAAACTTAATTTTAATTTACTCGAATAAGATAAATAACACAAAGCAACAAACATGACTTATAGGTAAAAAGCTAACACAATAAAGATTAAAGCTAGACGATTGGCCATTTTGCCGACTAGATTACTTTAAAATTATGTTGATCCTATATCACTCTACTCAACTCCGGATAAATAAGTAACAAGCAACCAAATAAAAATTATGATTCTTTTTATTCAGAAGCAGTGTTTTAAGTCCGCGGGAGACAGTAAACACGGCAATAATGTATATAAATTAGAAATACAAAACAATAGGTACTCACACAACTTAGAACCGTAAACCGCCTTCCAGAGCTGCTATTAAAAACTTCTAATAAATTATTGACATGCAAGACAAAACACAATTGTAACGAAATAACGAAACACGACGCAATACTAAGGGTATTTATCGCAGAATTCGACCAAGTTATTATGATTGAAATCTAGAGATGTTCACGAATCGGACCCGTGGCACTAATACTGCAAACAAATTGGCAGTTTTATTTATTTAAATATAACAGCTTGTATATTTACCTAACGTGTACAGCACAAAGTTATTAACAAATCAGGGACAAGATTACAAATTATTAACGAACAAGATTCGACACAAGTAATTAACAGAATGTCTGCTTGTAAAAAAGACGCCGAGCGTGTAGACGATGTCGTGCGAGATTATCGATTGGCGGACCGAAGATGGCAGCTGGCTAGCAGCTGGGCCGGCGTCTTAACGCTACACCCGGCGCAGTAGGTGGTACGGTAGGTAGTGGTACCAACCGACACTGCGGTAGAGTAGGTGGTGATACTAACTGACGACGCACAAATGATATGGACAGATAGTGTGTGTTTGTGTGATAACAAGTGATTGCTACAGATGGACGTACTTTGTAGCGTGGAGGTAAACGGTCTTGCAATTTAGGAGGCAAAGAAATAAAATTCCCAACTCTTGTATCAAAGATTATTAAAAGAAATAACACAATAAAACCTTTTTTTTTCAAATGCTTCTATATTTTACGATTTAAAACACTAAACAATTATACTAAATTTCTAAAAGTGTTTAACCATTAGACTGTATTAGTCTTAGTGAAATATACCTTCATCGACATCCTATAAAATTAATAAATGAGTTTACCTTAGGCTTTATCCCCCATGGACACACTTTTCGCTAATTGTGTTAGAATACTTAGGCCCCCCACCAAGGGCGGATACAGAAGTCCTAAACAGGGGGGGCAATATATATATATATATATATATATATATATATATATATATATATATATATATATATATATATATATATATATATATGTATTGCGATATACGCCTGTATATCTTGGTGGAAGTTAGTATTTAAGTAGAAAATAAAACACAACAATAATATGTTTAACACAATACTATTAAATATAAAAACACACACAGTATAGAGAATAATATATATACAACGTACGTTTCAATTATAACAGCAGCCGTAATAGAATGGTAAATCCAACACCTTAATACTATGTCTTATATACTATACAATCTAGGTTACAGACGTAATTGGTCCTTGTATAAACAACTTAAATATTACTCATGATTTCATCAGTGTACACTTATAATACCATATAAGGTTATATAATATTTATTACTTATCCATGACCCAAATAAACAATATTAATTATATTCAATACACCCCCTTAATTAATATTCCCTTAAATTAACTTATTCTACTGTGATATCTTCTGTATTCCGATGCTTGATCGAATCATCCCAAATCTGTCCTTTGGAAGTGCTTTTGTGAAGATATCTGCCAACATTTCTTCTGTGTTTATGTATTGAACTTCGAATTGACCTTCTTCATATTTTTCACGAATGAAATGATATCGTACATCGATGTGCTTGGTTTTTCGATGAAACTCCGGATTTTTAACTAAACGAATGGTACTTTGATTATCAATGAATAATGTAGGTTTATCATACATATTATTATTAGTGAGTTCTCGTAAGAAACTTTTAAACCAAATTAGTCCTTTTGTAATGTCCGACGCTGCAATGAACTCCGCTTCCGTACTGCTAAGAGAGACCGTTGCTTGACGTTGAGCTTGCCAAGATATTGTAGATGAACCCAACATGAATAGATGTCCCGAAGTTGATCTCCTTGTTTCTAAATCTCCAGCATAATCAGAATCTGTAAATATTCTTAAATCTAAATTATTATCAGATTTATACACCAATCCATAATCAATTGTATGTTTAACGTAACGTATAATGCGTTTGACCATCAACCAATGAGCATTAGTTGGTTTTGTCAAAAATCGTGATGCAAAATTAACTGCAAATGCCAAATCTGGTCTTGTTAATTGTGACAGGAATAATAAACTTCCCACTGCTTCTCGATACGGTACTTGATCTTCTTTTAGTACTATCGAATCCGTGTGAACATCCAATGTCGTTGATTTATCAATGGGTAATGAGATATCCTTTGCATCTAACATGTTAAATCGTTTAATAATATTTCTAGAATAATTAGTTTGATTAATAAATAATGATCCATCATCTAATTTCTTAACTCCCATTCCTAGAAAATATTCTAAATTACCATGTTTAACTTCAAATTCTTTTTCTAATTTGGACAACAACACCCGTATTTTTGTCTTATTGTCCGACGCAATAAGACCATCATCAACAAAAATAGCTAAAATCAATTTTTCATTATTATCATGATTAGTGAAAACACACGAATCATATTTACTTTGATTTAAATTGAATTGCAAAAGGAAATTCTTAAACCGTGTATTCCAACACCGTGGAGATTGTTTTAATCCATATAACGACTTACGTAATTTGCAGACCCGTCCTGAATTGTCGTCATATCCGATCGGTTGTTCCATATACAGTTCGTCTTCCAACATACCATATAGAAATGCTGTACGAATGTCAAATTGGCATAATTCCAATTTCTGAGCCGCACTAATGGCTAAAATTGTTCTAATAGATTCAAATCTAACTACAGGTGAAAATGTTTCGTTATAATTTATCCCATGTATCTGTCGAGACCCGTTAACAACTAATCGAGCCTTAAATCGATCAACCTGCCCGTTACCATTGTACTTGATTTTGTAAACCCATGAATTATTTAATACTTGCTTTCCTTCTGGAATTGGCACCAACGTCCAGGTGTCATTAGTATGCAATGAATTTATCTCGTCGTCCATGGCTAAAATCCAATCATTTTTATTCTGACAGCTCACAGCTTCTTTATAGTTAATCGGTTCTGTAATACACGACGTAATACATGCATATCTGGCCGGTTTACGCAATTGACCTCGATCGCGAAGATTGTAACTTGGTAGTTCTGTTGGCGTGACTTCGAGTTGTTTTTCTGGTTGTACCTCTACCGCCTGAGGTGTTTCCTCGTCGACATTATAATCTTGACTTACATTTTCGCTAAATGTTAATTCATTAGTATTTATTTCTTTTTAAACACAACATCTCTATAATCTCTTATAGTTTTAGTTTTTGGACAATAAGCCCTATATCCACGTTTATCTAAAGAATACCCGACAAAAATACACAATTTACTTTTAGCGTCCCATTTTCGTCTCTTAGCCTTTGGAATATGAACATACATTTCTGTTCCAAATACCCTTAAATGCCTTATATCTGGTTCTTTGTTAAAATAAAGCTCATATGGACTTTTACCTTCAACAGTACTCTTACCAGTAAGATTGAGTACATACACTGATGTATTAACTGCTTCTGCCCAAAATGATAAGTCCATCTTCTTTGAATGAAGTAATGTTCGTGCTGCTTCCACAATAGTTCTCATTTCACGTTCCGCCCCAGAATTTTGCTCTGGTGTGTACGCTATTGTTTTTTCATGTCGAATGCCATATTTCTGCAAAATACTTGTTACTTCTTTAGAAACAAACTCTAAACCATTATCACTTCTAAAAGCTTTTACTTTATTCCCAGAATCATTTTTAACAGATCTTATAAATAACTCTAATTTATTTTGGACCTCATTTTTATTTTTCAAGTAAAAGACCGTCCGATAATGTGTGTAATCATCCTTGAACAATACAAAATATTGGGACCCGCCCAGAGAAATTTTTTCAAACGGTCCGCATAAATCTGCATAAATTAACTCTCCGGTTTTACCCGATGTAGTCGAACGACTCTTAAATGGCTTTCTCGTTTGCTTCCCAATAACACAATTATCGCAAAAAAACTGGTTCCAATCACCGCTTACATTTATATTATGTTTTAGCAAACAAGATTTTACGTACTGTTTACATTGATGCCCTAGTCGTTCATGCCAAAGTTGAATGGAATCCGCGATTGCCGCATTCACTTCCATTTGTCCGTTACCTTGCTCGGTCAATGTCATGTCGTCGGCTATTTGTTGTACAATCTCAATGTTCATATTGTATAACCCGTTTTTGCGTTCACCAGTGCAAACGACCTTATTGTTTTTCAAAAAAATACACTTTTTACTATCTGATTCCATTTTTAAACCTTTATCTAATGCTTTGCCCGTACTAAATAAATTATACTTTAAATTTGGTACATATAACACATTAGACAAATAATTTGTATTCATGTTATTTCCCACATAACATATTATGTTAATATTTCCCGAACCTTCTGCCTGTAAATTTGTACCATCGCCAATCATTATTTCCACTGGCGACCTGAATTTTTTATAGTTCACAAACCACTCTCTGTTGCTTGTCATGTGTTCAGTAGCTCCTGAATCCAAATAC